CCCTTTTTTTGCGCCCGTCTTCTCTTTCTTTCCAATCTTTCTTCCCCATTCCCCCTTCCCCTAGTGCAGGATAGCAAACCGGATTCCCCATTTTCTGGTTAACCTCCCGGCCTTTCCCTCATTTTATCCTCTCTCTATCCTTTGGGTCTTCCACCATCCACTTTTTTTTCAGTTTTCTTTTTTCAGCTGCGCATATAACCGCATACATGCAGCCTACTGCTCTGGGCGCGCTTTTCATAGAAACAGAGCCACATGGCTCCAGGGGCTATAGCAACGTGATAGCATTCGCAAAGAAGGGAAACCGACAGAAAAACAACAACATACCAAAGAAATAACGCCGCGGTGCTGACAGGAGGGAAAATGGAAGGTTGGTGTAAAGGGGAACATATGCTTGGCGGGCTCGGGAGAGAGCACTTTTTAAATGCGAAGCATTTTTTAGCGAACGGAGCTAGGTATGTACAAGCGATAAATACCGTGCAATGTGGGAGGATTTAGAAGGAGTCGTATTGTTGTTGCCGCGATAACTTTATGCCTGTAAGCACTTGAATTTGATAAATTTGCGTGCGTGAGCTCGTTGATTGCACATAGCGAAGGGGGTTCGAGCCAACTATTTAGACAATCGAGGACAGAAAAACAGATGACACACCACCGGACTATCGCAACTGCATCTCATATGTGATCGTGGCACAAAATGCCAGATGAGTATTTAAGAGCGCGCACACATTATTACGTTCACAGTTTAAACACGTCGATTGATGCCTCACACCGAGAAGGTAAAAATTTCTCACCTAGTCACATATGCAGGATGTTGACAAGAATGAAGCTCTGCGTTAGTTCACAAATTGTGTCTGTCATGCAGTTGAAGACAACAAATAAAGTAGTGTCACTCACTCACTCACTGTGCGTTTCGAGTGTCAGTCTGTATTAAACTCGCGCTTCTCACACCACGAAAGCCTAAACCATGCTCTTCAAAAGAGTTTGACGGCTTCACTTTCATAGCTACAGGAGCATTGCGGAGGTCTGTGCATAATATCATCATCATCATCAGCCTGACTACGTCCACCGCAGGACAAAGGCCTCTCTCATGTTCCGCCATTTAACCCGGTCCTGTGCTTGCTGCTGCCAAATTATACCCGCAAACTTCTTAATCTCATCTGCCCACCTAACCTTCTGTCTCCCCCTAACCCGCTTGCCTTCTCTTGGAATCCAGTTAGTTACCCTTAACGACCAGCGGTTATCCTGTCTACGCGCTACATGCCCGGCCCATGTCCATTTCTTCTTCTTGATTTCAGCTATAATATCCTTAACCCCCGTTTGTTACCTAATCCACTCTGCTCTCTTCTTGTCTCTTAAGGTTACACCTACCATTTTTCTTTCCATCGCTCGCTGCGTCGTCCTCAATTTCAGCTGAACCCTCTTTGTAAGTCTCCAGGTTTCTGCTCTGTAGCTAAGTACCGGCAAGATACAGCTGTTATATACCTTCTTCTTGAGGGATAGTGGCAATCTACCTGTCATAATTTGAGAGTGCTTGCCAAATGTGCTCCACCCCATTCTTATTCTTCTAGTTACTTCAATCTCGTGGTTCGCAGTTGTTACCTGCCCTAAGTAGACATAGTCTTTTACAACTTGAAGTGCACTATTACCTATCTCGAAGCGCTGCTCTTTTCCGAGGTGGTTGTACATTACTTTCGTTTTCTGCAGATTCATTTTAAGACCCACCTTTCTGCTCTCCTTGTCTAACTCCGTAATCATGAGTTGCAATTCGTCCCCTGAGTTACTCAGCAATGCGATGTCATCGGCGAAGCGCAGGTTACTAAAGTGCTCTCCATTAACTCTTATCCCTAACTGTTCCCATTCTAGGCTTCTGAAAACCTGCTGTAAGCACGCGGTAAATAGCATTGGGGAGATTGTGTCCCCCTGCCTTACACCCTTCTTGATTGGTATTCTGTTGCTTTCTTTATGAAGCACTATGGTAGCAGTTGATCCCATAATATATCCACTCTCATATACAGGATTTTTATTGCCACAAGGGCATATGTGAAACATACTCGCGCCTCCTTGTCAAAGCACTCCGCCTGTGAAGAATCACTTATTCCCTCCTTTACCTACACTTTTAATCTCTTTCTCGAGAGAGAGATCAGGTAGATCACCTATTCCGCACAGGATATAAAACTGCTATTCACCTTCCTATGAGTACCGCTACAAGTAAACTTCTCCTTCTGGGTGCGCACAACCAGATAACCAGGGCGTAGCCAGAAAATCTTGTTCAGGGGGAGGGGCAAGCGGGCAAGCTGTTACTCTCTCTGCTCCAAACAAAAACCCACCCGAGCCCTGCGGCACTGCACACAATATACCCCAAGCGGTTCTCAAGCCCGGATTGTCCCCTAGTGTGTCGGTTATGTGGACTTCGTACATGTTCTGTGCAGCTGTGCCTTTGGCGGTCATCTCAAATTCTGACCGTCCAGAAGGCCTGGGCGAAGGCGGTCAGGTTTCAGCCGACCATCCCGGAGTGGACCTAGCCAGGCAACACTTAGTTTTACTCAAATAAGCTTTAGTCAACTAAACTTCACATTACTACGCACTAGCCCGCTTGTTCTTGTATATAGTCAATGTGGCTCACACCCGCTGTGGTGAACTTGCTAAGAGTTGGGTGCGTGTACGTTGTTTCTCAAGGTGTTGCATCTTAGAAAAACTGTGCGCTTTGAAGCTTCCAAGATAGCTTCACAAATTTAGATGAAAAATGAAGAGTAGGGTAATTGATATAATAGATATTGCGAGCCAAACATATCCGCTTTTTAGGGGCGAAGCTCCTTATGACGTGGCATGTGCGTCCCCAGTTGTCGTGCGTAACCTGTGGCACATACCCGCATACCAGTGGCACATACCCGGCCTCTGGCACATATCTGCATGTCTACATGTTACGAAAAACGCAGCACAGCCTCAGCCTCGTTATCACGCTCTCGATGTTCAACAGAGCGCTGACAGCAGAAATGCGGCACACTCTCTCGTTTGTTGCTTCGATTGTCCGCTGGATGGCGGTACTTGTATATGATGAATGTAGGATAAAAAGAAGCGAGGTGGCAGCACTTGAGGTGTTTGCAAGATGGACGGACGGGCAGACAAACGAACGGACGGACGGATTGACGGACGCTTCACCCTACTCATCATCATTCATTCCATGGATATGCTGTCATTTTTTTTTTATTGGGGTGTGTATGTTTAAGCTTTCTGTAATATTTTTAAAATCACGTTCAGCTACAGTGGCAGGCGTGATACTGGCCTCTCCGAGCGATAATCACTTTCTATTGTCGTTCAAGATTATCATTTTTGTCACATTATCAATACTCAGCCATTCTTGGTTACGCTTACACTGCCACCGAACTTATTCCGGTACTCTATGACACCCGATTGCCTATAACCACAGCGAGAAGCAATACATATATTCAAACTTAATTTCTCATAAAACGTCAGAGGCTTTTGGCTTAATAACGTGTTTCAACGGATCTTATCTCATTTGCGATCGAATGTTCACAATGTCTCCAAACAAAGTGACTCTTGGGTACTTAATCGGCAAAGTACACGTTTGATATACTTAGTAAACCACATGTGTGTTCCTTTATCGTGCTGGTTTGAAATATTGATATTAGAGCATATTTTTGAAAAAAAAGTGGAACTGTTTCACAGAACATGGAAACGAATGTATTTATTCAAAGAAGGTTTTACAGCATTTTCAGGGCAGAAGTGGTTGGGGCTACTAAAACAACAATAAGTGTACTGTGCAAAAAAGGGATGAAAACACAAAGTAGAGAAAAAGGACAGACAAGCACGGTCTGTCCTTTTTATCTACTTTGTGTTTCCGTTCGTTTTTTGCGCAGTGCACTTATGGATCAATGCCAACTTGCCGAACTAGCCATTCTTCAACTAAAACAGCTCAGTGTGATGTTTGTATTAACTAGAGTACCAGCTGACTTCTCTGGCAACCCGTTTAGCAAACGCCTTTATTTCCTCATCGGAATCAGATGAACGAAGTTGTAGGAAATAAGTTTTTTTTTCATGTACAACTGAACTGACCCTATGTGGTTTTACCACGCTAAATTAAGTCATGAAGAGTGAAGACACCCTGAAGCTAAAGCTCTGACGGCACCTTGTACGTCCCTTTCATATACATGGCCCTGTGAACTTACGCAAACAGCACTTTAGAAAGCAAAGGATGTAGAAACTAATAAAACTTTGCTTGGGTGAAAGCTGGTACTTGATAACTAAAAACTTAAAATTTTTACCTAATACGACATCAGGATACTTTCGCGCATCACAAGTGCAGGTTCTACTTCACGCCATCTCTCTGCTTTGAGAAAATATAATATGCATAAAGTACAAAATGAAAAAAAAAGATGAACTAGTAGAGTAAGAAAGGCAAGGGATAATGTGACCGTGTTCATGTAAAGCTGGAACTTGGTTCGAAAAAGCGAGAACATTCAACTATCAAAAAGCACGAATGTGCGCTACAAAACTGTACAAAACTGCAACCATATTTCACAGTAAATGCCAACACGCCGTAGTTTCAATAGTTCCATTATGTAATACTGGGTTGAAGAAACCGTACATTTACAGCTCGTGATCATGAAGTAGTCGAGGGCCTTTGACATATTCTAAAAGATACTAGTGAAAACAGGGATTAGGGAAATATGAGTTTCTCTAAAGAGAAAAGATTGGACTTGATACATGAGTGCTGTACCCTAAATAACACAAAACGTAAATCAAAGCAACAAGGCCACTGACGTTTGGCATGGCTTTAGAAAATGTATAATACCCATGCGAGCTGAAAAGGGGGCACTAGCTACGGCAAAATATGACAAAACTTAATGCTCTTTCATAGAAATGAGTAGAAAGATTTAATAAAACGTCTCTCAACTGGAGTCTGATTTATGGTGGCAGAACGTGTCCACACTGACGCTATAGCCAACAGTCTGAGAATGACTGAAACTGCTGAACTATGACTGCATTAAGCAAAATCACTGGAGCAGTGGCTCGCTCGAGTGCGACGCTACGCTCGGGCCATCCGAATCTTGCAAAATCCCTCTGGCATGGGCATCGAGCCTTCGTTAACAATGTTGCTCAGTATGGCTCGCGCTTCCGCATCTGTCAGGACTCCCCACCTGTTAGGGCCATCAGTGAACTCTTTCGCAGTGAGGGCAAGAAACCGCAACTCGGGAAACAGTGGTTCAAGTACAGCTCGAAACTTTTCTTTTTTGTGGTCGCTAAGTTTACGGCGCTTAGATGATTGTGGTTTCTTCGCAGGCGTCAGGAAATTCTGTCCCCAAGTATGCACTGCTTGTAACACAGGTGCCTCGAATATATTAGTAATGTGTTTAAGCAGATATTTGATGGTAGCTTCCCTGAAAGACTTTAACGTAGTAGAGGAGAGGACTTTGAGGCTGTCCTTGATGATCACTATGGTTGCTGGAGTTGCCAAGGCCTCTTCGCCGACAGTCAGAATGTAGTCCAGGAAGGGGCACACATCATCGGGGGTCATGCGGCAATTCATGAATTTGAGGCATTGCTCCTCGAGCTCTGTGACCAGGTACTTGTGAGCAGCAGTGAGGGTACAGGCGGCCTGATGTACGCTATTTACTTCAAGGCGTCCACTGTAGAAGTACCTGCGTCAAGAAAAAAGAGAGAATATGACTCAAGAGAAGTCTCAAAGATCTATTGACCTCCGAATAGATCAAGCTGGCTAGTCCAGTATTATAAAAATAAAATAGGCATGAAAGATTAAAGCAAAAAAAAGCAAGTGTTCTGCAACTTCGCATAGTCACAGCCCAATCAAAATGTGGAAGTAGCAGTTTAACCGCAAGGGCAAAGCAATGAATGCAATAGGAAGACATTGTAATGCCACATGTAGGAAAAGCAGCTAAAAATTTTCTGCAGGGCGCTCAGGCGAAAAGACGCACGAAAAGAATTCACACACAACCAAGGCGGCCAACAACTGTCACAGCTCAACACTCGCAGTACGCTTTTCAATCTGAAAGAATGATCACGCACAGGTGTACACAGAACAAGCACAAACAGACAACTGTCACAGTTGTTAGGTAGCAGCGACTGCAAGGGTCAACTGTGCATGACAAATAAAATTTCTTAAGATATTGTTTCTTTATGTTTCACTTTTTTTGAAAATAATGGCAGGTAGAATCGGTAAGGTTGGATGGAATGACCCTTTTGTGTCTGCTGCCACGCTGCAGTGTCCGAAATGTGTGCTCGGTGTTTCAGATCAAGAGGGTACAAAAATGTACCACTTGTTCATGCGTCGTACGGAAGGCAATCTCCAAATAAAAAAAAAATCTATTGTCGATTACAACCTCAGATTAAATTCACGCTCCGCCCCCAGTATTGCAGCACGCCTGTCATTCATCTGTGCAACTGAGCAATGCTTGGCGATTTCCATTCTAACCATACGCACTTTTTCGCTGGTAATGCAAATAGTATTCATATTAATACGGTATGAGCCGGGCCATGGTTTGGGACAAAAGTAGAGGAAGAGGAAGTTAGTTGGTTCGGCTTATGTTTGCCATCATCGCCGATCATCGCCTGATATCGCCTGTAAATAAACATAGTTAAACTCAATCTAACCGTAACAATATTATAAATTCCAAGTTCGTCATTCCTTCTTAGAACGTAATGTTTCACAGAGCAGTCAATTCAGATTTTCTGAAATTTGCCACTAAATAAAATTTCACACCCGAAACCTAGCGAAATGAACACAAACGAGCCTGTACGGCCAAGTGATATGACTGAAATCCATGAAATCTGCCTGATGTCACGTAAATAGCCGACTGCAATTCACTAGGACACATATGCGAATTCTGCCTAAGTGGGACGATGACCACCGTGGGCGGTGCTTACATTTAGTTTTAGGCTGTAACCGACTATTGAAGCATGGCTTTAAAGCACGCCTTTCACAATATCTTGTATAACATGCTGAAGCACTTTCTGATATTCTGCGAGAATAATGTTTTGTTGTTTTTAAAGGAAGCAGATATTTTAGAATCATGAACTTAGCACGCTCTTAAAACATTCCGGGATTTGCGTACTGCCAGCGGAAATGTGTATACTTTATAGCTCGCCATCAATACAAGCGCATGGCCCACCGTAGAGTTGGTTAGCGTGGCACGCTACAGAGCGAGAAATTGCAGGTTCGAAACTCGGTTGCGTGTGCCTGAAAAGTTTTGTTCTGATATATACATATGTGACGAACCACACGAGAACGCTGTGGTGGAATGGTAGAGGAGGAGGAAGACGAAGACAAATAAATGGTTCATCGTACAGCCATCAGGTCTCCTGCGTCACACATACATGTACATTTTTGTATATACATACATGTACAGACAGGGGATATGATGACGACTGGCAAAAACTCCACAGAGAGGGTGCATATAATTGCTGTCGCATTCACAGCAACGCTGTGTCTTTCGGTTGACATCTTATGACCAGTTTTGAAGATAATTAATTACGTCCACCGATGATAATCCAACCTGACGACACAGCTGCTAGAGCTATCGGGGCACAATACGAAATCTACAGCATCGAACTTGCAGTGATTAATGAACCTCTGCGAATTGTGATCAAAATATTGTTACGTCCCCAGTAGGTGTTTGGGGTTTATTGATAAAAGACTAGAACGATGAGCCGTACAGGACCAGGCTGCTAGAAAGATCTTGTCACGCTCCTCGCTTCTTTCTTCTCTTCCTAGTGTGGCACACACTCCACGTTTTTTTATTTGAAATAGAAAATAAACGAAGGAGTTTTTGTCACCATTACTTGGCGATGGCTACCTCTTTCCACTTAATTGGTACAAATAATATAGAAAAAAAACAATAGCATATATACATATATACAGTCCTACATGGGTGAGAGCAAAAGTCCTCCTACATGGGCAGAACAAACACGTAGATGACACGCTCGCTTGTAACTTTTGTCCTCTCAGTATTCGTCACAAATCTTCGTTTCTTCGAAGGACTGTTGCAGCACCTTCATTGCTTTGCCATTTGTTTTGGATGGCCATGGACCTAGTATTTTATTCAACCCGAATGGTCGCTCAGGATCTAACCTATGCAGTTCTTGTTCTAGTCGCCTTCGGTGTGTGTCGTGTTTCGGACAGTCGAGCAAGAGGTGACAGATATCCTCGTCGTCGTGGCCGCATGAACAAGCTGATGATGTTGCACGATGAATGCGAAGTAGGAAGTGCTTTGTGTAAGCAGTTTTGAGTCGTAGGTGATGAATGAGTGTGTCGATACGTCTTGGGAGGTCACGGTCTAATGGTATTCAAGATTAGGATCAACAGAATATAGGATCAATTCCTTTGTTTTGTCTGTGAACCAGGTATACAGGCATAATTCATGTTTTGTTGTTCTTAAAATTCTATTTACATCATATTGAGATTCCGGAATGAGGCACGTTTGTGTAGAATTAGGAGAGATTTTCGTCAACTCCTCCGCCATTTCATTTTTCTTAATTCCGCAGTGACTGGGAACCCACTGAAATGCCACTCGATTCGACTTCGTAGCGTCTGAAAGTTTTTTAGTATAGCGTATACTATATGCACATCAATGTGTCTTGAAGTCTTGAAGTGGCACTTTCCACACATGCCGGTGCTGCCAGAGAGCCTGTAATTACCACCCATTTTCTTGGTGTCGTTGACAGTTTAATAAAGCTTATGGCTAGCAAAATCTCTACGAGCTCCAACGTTGTTAAAGAAGAGAGATGGCCTAACCGACGTGCATATTCTTCGTGCAATTCCAGAATTATGAATGCTGATGTCGCTGTCTCTTTGTCGCTGTCTCCAAGGATACACTCACTGTACACGTGAGTGTATCCTTGGTACCTGTCAAACAGATGATGTGATGCCAACTGCTGAGCGGCAATGATTGGCACTTCATGTTTGCTGCGAAGTCCTCCTATTGACGTTTCAATAGTTGGAAGTTCAAGCAGCCATGGAGGGTAGTTTTGGTCCAGTGGCCAATGTGTCGACACAGGAAGCCGGGAAATGTACTGTTGGTACACATGGTATATTTGCGCTCCAGCACGGTTCACGATGTTGGATATGAGCAGATGGGAAGAGTGTTGCGTGACTAGACGAAAGAGGTGCGGACATGTCTCCACATTTCTAATTACTGTAAAGTTGGGTTCTCTTGCCTCTGCCAGTGTCAAAGAACTTGATGTTGCCTGTGGAACCCCCAGACATATGCATAAGCTTTGTGCTTGTAACAGCTGAAGTCGGTGAAGCGACGTCTGAGAGATGTGTGTAGAACTGGCGCAGAGTAGGCAAATTTCTGTCGGATTAGTGCACAATGGACGTGGAGGAGAGACGCTGATGTACCGCCCCATTTTGTTCCCGCGATGCGACGTATAACATTTATGGTGCTGTTCACTTGATTTTCTAGAACAGCAATATGCTGACTCCATCTGAGTTGGCTATCTAAGGTAACGACAAGAAAGCGATGCTTTCCTGTGATTTCGATTCTCTGGCCATCCACAAAAAGCTTCATGTTCTTCACTCTTTTTCTCGTGAATGGCAGAACTACAGGTTTGGCGTGAGAAATCTGCATGCCTCGCTCTTTGAGGTAATCACTTATTGCGTTCTAGTCCTTGTTGAAGCCGATGTTCGATCACTTCCAGTGATTTGTGAGATGTCCATATGCATATGTCGTCTGCATACATGGATATGTTCAAGGCTTCGGGTAGTACTTCTGGAAGACCTTCTATTGCAGCAGTTGAAAAGAAGCGGACTTAGAACGCTTCCTTGAGGTACTCGTCTGCTCATGTTGAAGCGATCGCTGTCTGCGTTATTGGTTGACATATATATTTGTCTGTTACATAGGAAGTTGGCGATCCATTGAAGGATACGACCGTGAACCCCTAGGGAGGCGAGCTCGTGCAGCACAGAAAGATGGCTCACAGAGTCGAACGCCTTCTTAATATCTATGAAGCCGCAACAGCCATGTTTACACAGCTTATCTCATGTTCTACAAATGTAAGGAGGTCGAGGACGCAGTCCATGGTGCATCACCGTCGTCTGAAGCCAGTCATCTGTTCTGGAAGTGAGTTGTTAGCTTCAATCCACTACTGTAATCTTCTGTCAACCATTTTTTTCCATTACTTTAAATACACAGCTAGTGAGGCTGACTGGTCGAAATGAGTCAAGCGAAAGCGGTGAATTACCGGGCTTTAGTAGTGGGACGATTCTCGCTACCTGCCAACACATTGGAACGTACGCCTTCGTCCACATGTCGTTATATATCCGTAGAAGAACTGGCATGCCGTTGGGTCCTAGATTTTTCAGAACACTGTACGATACGTTGTCGGGACCGGTTGCCGTTCTTACGCGGGTTAGTGATAGAGCAGTACACAACTCTAGTAGAGAATACGTGTTATCCAGTTGAGCATGTGATAAAGTCCATGCATCTTGGATTTGCTGCTCTACAGAACTAGGCAGTGCAGTAGTGTTGTGAACCAATTGCCCAGTTCCAGTCAGCATTGTGCAAAACTTATTAGAAACATCACGTTCGGATAATCCAAGAGATATGGCTAATGCTCTGAATGGGTTTCGCTGGGATACTGGATGACTTAAAGCAGTGATTGTTTGGCACATTGTCGGAAGTGGAGTAAATGGGGTCAACGAATTACAGAAATCATGCCATTTTTTCCGACCTAACTTTTGCATGTGTCGGTTAGATTGGATGTGTGTGGCCTGACTCTTCTTATAATCTTCAAGCCTCCCAGTGCGGCGATAGCGACGATCTGCTCGTCTTCTAATAGCTTGTAGGCGCTCATAGTCTGCATCTACACTGGAGTGGCCTGCTGGGACAGCTGTAAACCTTGTCGCATGGGAGTAACTGCTTTTAATGCAGGACATAAATGTATTCAATTCATTGACTCCCATCAAGTCACGTCCAGTATGTTCACGAAATAGTTTCCAGTCAGTTAGCTTTGAAATCAATGTGGTCATTTGCACTTGCATTCTTGGGTGTTTCATAAGAACTGGGTAATGATCCCTCCCTTGTGTTTCGAGGTCTGTACACCAGTTCATATTTCGTGCAATGTCAGGAGAGGCTATAGCCAAATCTAGACAGCTGGCATAATTATTACCTCTTAAAAACATTACTGATCCATCATTCAGTACAACAAGACCACATCGATCAATTGCTTTTTCGAGTGTTCTCCCACGTGAATCGGTATGAGTACTGCCCCACGTGGCATTATGCGCATTGAAATCTCCACAGATGAGGGCAGGTCACTGGGCTTTACCCAATAAATGAACCAGAGATGATTCGGAGATGCGTGTCGATGGTTGCAAATAAACACAAATTACGGTGACGGTAAGCTTCTGGGATTGAATTTTGCACCCTTCAAATTTTGGCACGTCCGAGTCCGACGAGTATAAAACAAAAGAGGGTATGTCGCGCCGTACGCATAACAGTGCCCTGCTCAAGACTGGATTTCTTCTTGATGCATATGTGACATAGTTAGAAATCCTAAAGTCAGGGCCAATGATGGTTTCATTTAGACACAGAACGGGGAAGCTATACTGAGCAACCAGCTTCCTAAAGTCTGCGCTTTTGGACCTAAGGCCATTGGCATTCCACTGAAACACAGCTGTGTTGTGAAACAGTTGTTCATTTGTAGAGCCATTTTGCCATACAAGAATTTTTTGTTGTACTGCTAGAGACTCTGATGAAAGGACTGCGCTCACCTCTGGTAGGTCATTGGCCTGTGGAAATACACGCACGATTGCCTTCAAGGCAAGGAAGAGCATCGACATAACCATATCCACATCACTTGTTTTCGGTGCACGTTTCTGTTGTGCCTTTGGCTTTGGCGAGGTGAAAGGTGTAGATGCTTGGTTATCCTGAGTTGCTGACGGTTTCGGTGTCCTACTGTCGCTTGTCTGCCTTTGAACGCTTGGTGATCATCCTCTACGGTTCGTATTGGCTGTACTTATGTTTATCTGAGCTGAAGCACGCTTGGCTACCGTCGCATACGACAGTGGTGATGTACTCTTTTGTGATATTGAAGTCACAGAGAGTGGATGCACAGTTTCAGGATTCGGACAAGGTGATCTCTTTTTTGGAGCTCTTCTAGGCAAAATTTCTTGTCGCTTCAGACGAGTAGCTGCCTGGTGTTTCGGAGAACCAGCATATGACGCTACGTGGTCTCCATTGCAATTGGCACATTTGGGATGATTCCTCGATGTGCATTCTTTGTAATCATGTGCTCCTGCACAGATTTTGCTGCGAAGTTGTCCATGGCACGATTTGGCAACATGTCCATATCGTTGACAGTTGTAACATCATGTAACGGGCTGTAAGTACTCTTCCACTGGATGACTTGTGAAGCCTAGGAGCATATGAGGTGGCAGTGGCTTGTCGGGGGAGAATTCAAGAATTGCACTGCCGAGTAAATGTGGCTCTGCTGAACCATCTTCACGACGGAACAATTTAGTCTGTCTCCTGACTGAGATTACACCGCTGTCTCTTCAGTATTCAAGCAGTTGATCTTCACTGTATTGCACTGGTACTTGTCTAATCTTTCTTAGGTTCCTCACATACGACAGTGGTATGTATGATGCCACTTCAAGACCAGCAACATGTGTTAACTCAAGAAGTCTGGAAGATGCAGTAACTGTACAGAAACTTACGGAGAAGTTGCCATCTCTGTTGACATGGAACGACTCCACTTTCTCTTTAGCAGCAGATACTACTTCACTGGCCAGTTTGTTCGGATTGACTTTCCAGAACGAAGCGCTAGGGTCTGTCAGCTTGAAAATTACAGGCATCCCTGCTGGTCGGGCTTTCTTGTACGTGACTGTTGTGAAAGGCCTTTCTTCTGCTGCTACCTTACAGTTCATTTTCGCGGAGTCGATGATTGTTGCATCGCTGTAATTCTCTTGATTATAAGTTCGCGCCTTCTTCAGAGTAACACACTCGTCGTCGGCGTTAGGTGTCGTCGAGGGGCCGTCACAGTCCTCCTCGGGTTCGCGAAACACGGGATTATCTTGCTGTTCGGACGCATTCATCACTTCGTCTTCATCTGATGGGCGCCGAGAAGAATGGCCGCCACCAGCGGCCGAAGCTTTTGGACGTCGTGGCAGCCTAACATAAGGCTTCGGCGCCTCGGAGACGTGGCGCCTGGTGCACCGCGATGGTGGTGGCCGAATCTTGGCAGTAAGATGCAAAAGACGAGTAAGAAAACTTACGAAGTAGGCAAAAAAACAGCAGTGCTAGAAAACACATTAGTATTATTACCACGTAATAATACTAATGAGTCCCAAAGACGCATGCATACGAACTTCCTGCGTAAAATATCTTGAAATATGTGCAATACAAAGAATGTTGCAATGTTGCAAGCGGTGCATCGTCCGAAGACTGGTCTCGGGCACTGGCACAGCCAGGACAAGTTACACTCCTGCACCCTCCGCCCAGATTTAGTAATTTTGCATGTGTAAATATAGACAATTTGATCTTAGGCATGTGGGCACCGCGATCTTGCAGCTATTAAGCTGATGTTTTCTTGGTTTTGTGCATTGTGACGTGAATCAATGACGCCATAAAACGTCGGGTGTACCAGTCAGACCGTTTCCATGCTATGCGCCTAACATAACTCTGTTTATTTAGATGTTGAAGATACAAAACACAAAAGTTGACAGCTTGGTATGGCGGCACTCAAACCTATACGTAAAAGAGTCTATGTAAGCTGACATACAAACATGGTGGCCTAGCCCTCCTCACCTTAGAAACTTTTTATGGGCTACCCCCAGCTCTCACAGTCTTCCCGGCAAAACTGTGCTTAAGATGGCATTCAAACTCAAACGAAATGACACCCTATGTCATCTTTATCAACGGCTCCATAATTTCGTTTACTAAGGCATACTCATGTATACAGAGCTCTTGTGTGGCCCGCACTTGGCCTATTTGAAACAGCACCTGACAACAGTTTTCAAGCTGTTTCCAGTTACTGGAAAGAAAAATTTTAATGGGGCCCTGCAACACTTTTTGAGCATTGTCGGAAAACGCTCCTATCAATAATTGAGGCTCTCGAGAAAACGCGAGCCAAATATTAGGGCGCATTGGCCAGATATTCACAATAAAATCTGTGTTCTAAGAACTGTTTTTCTTCTCTCGACAAAGACATTACAAGCACTTAGATCAATTATCAAAGCCATTGTATCGGCTATTTGTGAATGTCAGCAGAGCACATTAGGTTGTTACGCGGACTGCCGGGAGAGGCCACAACTTGTCCACGTGCGCACCTGATCGCACTCAAATGCCACGTATTAGAAGATAAAAGTGCTCAAGGTCACGGGGCACGTGTGATGTACTTTCTTTCTTCTTGCCATCTTTCCCTAGGACGAGGGAAGAAAGGACCCAACGGCAGTGTGGACAAATCTTAGTAACGCCGCTTGTACTGTACTAATTCTAGAGAGATTTGCAGCAGTAAATTTTTTAGGCAGAAAGCTGCTTTGTAAACCCTATTCCATTGCTGCTTGAAAAAGTGTTGCAGGGCCTCTTTAAGAATGTAGGTATTTGTAGTGCTGTAGCTGTACAAAGCACGATTTTCGCGAAACCTTGTGACTTCGCTCGCGTAACGGCCCAACACAAGTTTTTCGGCCGGTGAAAGGATAGCACGCCACCTTTCCTGACATGTATGAAATCGTAGCTGTGACATATAGTTTGATAATAAACGTGCATATAAGGCAGATTGCGTAACGTATCATTACTTAGAAGAATTCTTTCTTTATCTTTATATTTTCTCTGTTTATCTTTAATTCTACAGCCTGTTGCTTATTACCAGCATTCTTTTTAGTTTAATATTTCACATTGCTGTGAATTTAGAAATTTGAAGATGAAATTTTTGCGTATTGCTTTCTTCTTTCGACAAAAGGTATATGGTAACATTGATACAAATAACGGCTTACAAAGTTAGATGAAAAGCCCATGACGTATTCTTCTAAAACACCAAAGAAAGAATAAAAAAAAAAGACTTACCGCAACAGGCCGTGGATGCCCTCTGGATGCAAATCAGTGATGACTATGCGGTCTTCCTTGGCGAAGTCACCGTAAAACATGGCCCTGAACACATCGTTCTGTGCAGCCAGGATCATTTTGTGGGCCTTGAAGGTGGCCTTATTACCTGGGAAGAGGCAGCACTCGACCGAAATATCCACATCGGTAAGATCGGCGGTCTCGAAACACTTGGACAGCCAGTGCTGTAAGAAAAATAGAGTATCACTAAAAGGCGAAGTAATGATTGTGATATTAATAGTTCATAACGTCACAGGTGAAGTAAGGCTTAATAGAGGATTGTTTTTACGAGCAGTTTTTTCACCAACAGTTCGATATATTTCCTTCATTGAAATCCATCATTTGCTAAGGCCAGTTGCCGGACTAGTTGATTGGTGTTCATTCATTGACCTAGCGCACCACGACAGCGACAGAGAATGTCGTTAATAAAAATAAATCGATAAAACCTAGACAACATGTAAACATACAGTACGTCCAGCTCATGCAGGTGTCGCCACTGATCTCAACTATGTGGTACCGCCAACATCAAAGCGATGATTCAAAATACTTCTAGCTGGCAAAGCTAAAGAAGCCACATTCACTCAACTTTGTTTCATTTTTTTGAACTTCACAGGCTTTAGGCATTTCCCAAGTAGTCCTGCCACGCACCCTATCGAGAACACGCGTGTTCTGAAACAATGGGGCGCAACCGCACCTCTGACAGTAAATTCCCAAATGGCCATCTACAGCCTTTTATACAATGTACTGGTGATCCCTAAGCGTTCAGTTTAATACTCTTCCAGTCTGGCCGATACACCCGTGTCCACAAGTTAAAACATTACGATACACAATAGCTCACCTGCAACTAACAATTTTTTTACCCTGTGTTTGATCTCATAGTACTGTTCTTCGCTACTGTCTGCATTGACCTTTTCGCACATTCCTTGTAACCATCCGCGAGCAGGAGACACCACGTCCGCACTGTCCTTTCTTCCTATCCTTCGCAAATTATGTAAAACGACGTGCATGTAGGGCAGTACAACAACCTATAGGCTGCCTTAGTGTCAGCAGCCGGCTCCCTGGCCTTTGCCCTTTCTTACCTGCTCACATTTTCAGTGACGGCAGTTCACAGGCACGTGGGATAACCAGAGTCTATCAAAGGTTTAGCCTGGGCCCACAAGCTTGCATCAAGCTTGTTGAGAAACGACTTCATCAGTGAATTTCGAATATGAGAATTTATCACAGCACACTTTAACGAATTTGAGTGAGTGGATGTAAACGGAGGAACTGGTTTACTTCATCGCGGTTCATAACTCCAGCATACTCCTGCTGGCGAAAAATACATCCGGAGGTCTTAAGACAGTGGCTGGGACTACAAACGGCAAGGAAATAGAATTACCAGATCCCATGTACAGTGGGAATCGTTATTCTGAGCGCGAATGATGAAGGTTGATATGTCACTCTAAAATCAGCACAACGTTATGAGGCCGACTTTAATTATGCTGTACATGACTTCCACGTCATGATTATCATGTTCAGACGTGTCATTCACCGTCTACTCACGTCAGGTGATAAGAAATTTGGTATAAATGTGGAGCTAGCGAAACATTTGCCAACACACTATGAGCGTAGCATAGTAGTGATGTTTTAAATGACACGCATATCATGATAATCATGTTTGGACGCATAATTTATTTTAAGTCGTCTATTCATGTCAAGTGATACTAAATTTGATATTTGTGAAACTAGCGTAACGGCCGTGAGTGCATCATGAGCGTGGCATGTATTTGTTTTCTTATATAAGGACGCATCTCATGATTATCATGTTTGCACCATTGATATACCTTCGACGTCCATTCACGTCGCGTACTATCAAATTTGGTATATGTGAAGCTTGCGAAACAGCCACGAGCACATCATGAGTGTGATATGTTGTCATGTTCTTACATTACACATGTTATGATTATCATGTTTGCACCAGCCGCATACCTTTGTCATACATTGACGTCACAAAACACCAAATTTGGTATATGTGAAGCTAGCAAAATCTCCGCGAGCGCACCATGAGCGTGGCTTACATGACATGCATGTCATGATTTCCACGTTAGCATCGGTCACTTATGCACGCCATGCAGTCATGTCATACCATACCAGTGTTGCAATATGTCATGTGCACGAAACCACAGCAAGAGCAGCAAGACCATGAAATGTAAACCATGTCTTTCATGTGATGATTTTCATGTTATGACTAGCCAGTTATGCTGATCATAGTCATGTTATGCCATACCGATTTCGGTATCGATACTATTAACGAAACGGCCAGGAGAGCTAGATAGATAGATAGATAGATAGATAGATAGATAGATAGATAGATAGATAGATAGATAGATAGATAGATAGATAGATAGATAGATAGATAGATAGATAGATAGATAGATAGATAGATAGATAGATACGCTCAAGGTCACCAAAGTTTGCTAAGAGATGCTTCGCATTTAAAGCCGGTTCTTACGTTAATCCGCTAACTAAACATTCACTGAAGAAGTCGTGGCCCAACTAGCTTGATGCAAGCTTGTGGGCCACTTCTCATGGAGGTGCCTACCCCCGCCCCCTGAAAAATTTTCTACGTTCGGCCTATTTTATACATACGGAAATCTTTACATACGTTCTATTGTCAAGGCAGCCAATCCAGTAATAGAGGAGGCACTGCCTTTACTCAAGGCAAGCTGATAAGATCTTTCGAGTGCACCGATAAATTTGGGGACAAATGCAAAATGCGAATGACGAAGCTATCTTTCGATAAAGTTTAACGTGATATGACTGCATGCTTCAGTATGCAATCGTGATATCTAAGCTTCCCTCCGGGATCATATGATGATATGTGAGGGTTAACGTCCCAAAACCACCAAATGACAATGACAGACACCATAGTAGAGAGCTCCGGAAATTTCGACCACCTAGGGTTCTTTAAGGTGCACCCACAGGTGAGCGCACCGGCCTACACCATTTACGCCTCCATCGCAAATGCAGTCGCCGCAACCGGGATATATCCCGTGACCTGTGGGTCAGCAGCCGAGTACCTTAGCCACTTGACCACCACAGCGGGGCCTCCAGGGATTAGGTAGCGGATACGGCGCTCCACTACTGACCCAGAAATCGAAGGATTGAATCCCAGGTGCATTTCAATGGAGTTGCAAATTTCCAGTGCCCTCTACTGTGGTGTCTGTCATAAGTTTATAATTGTTTTGGGACGTGAAATTCCAATGCTATTTTATTAAAATAAACTATTTTCCCTGAACCCTTTTGGCATCATGCCTATAAGGATAGCTAGCTGAGCTTTATTTTGATTACTAAATCGCTTAATCAATTTACCTGAGATTTCTCTTCAGTCTATGAAACAGCGTGTCGGCGTGATTTGGGAGCAGGTGGATAGCAGTAGGAGCATTGCCTTCTACACACGTGACAGGATCCTCAATATTTTATTAAATTAAACTATTTTCACTGAACCCTTTAGGCATCATGCCTATAGGGATAGCTAGATGAGCTTTATTTTGATTACTAAATCGCTTCATCAATTTACCTCAGATTTCTCTTCAGTCTGTGAAACAGCGTCTCGGCGTGATTTGGGAGCAGGTCGATAGCAGTAGGAGCATTGCCTTCCACACACGTGACAGGATCTTCATTATTTTATTAAATTAAACTACTTTCAGTGAACCCTTTGGAGATGACTATACGGATAGCTAGCTGAGCTTTGTTTTGATTACTAAATCGCTTAATCAATTTACCTCAGATTTATCTTCAGTCTGTGAAACAGCGTGTCGGCCTGATTTGGGAGCAGGTGGATAGCAGTAGGAGCATTGCCTTCCACACACGTGACAGGATCTTCATTATTTTATTAAATTAAACTACTTTCAGTGAACCCTTTAAGGATGACTATAGGGATAGCTAGCTGAGCTTTATTTTGATTACTAAATCGCTTAATCAATTTACCTCAGATTTCTGTTCAGTCTGTGAAACAGCGTCTCGGCGTGATTTGGGAGCAGGTGGATAGCAGTAGGAGCATTGCCTTCCACACACGTGACAGGATCTTCATTATTTTATTAAATTAAACTACTTTCAGTGAACCCTTTAGGCATCATGCCTATAGGGATAGCTAGCTGAGCTTTATTTTGATTACTAAATCGCTTAATCAATTTACCTCAGATTTCTGTTCAGTCTGTGAAACAGCGTCTCGGCGTGATTTGGGAGCAGGTGGATAGCAGTAGGAGCATTGCCTTCCACACACGTGACAGGATCCTCGTGGCGCTGCAACTGCAAAAAGGGTTATCGATATTGTTTGCATACACAGAACTCCTATCACAGAAAAAGAAATGCACAAGTACAACGGTGGGCACTGGGAGATCATTGCGAATTTCCTGAGAAGTCGTGCTTCTCTCACAGTTGTAATTCTCAACCTATGAAGGCCCTGAAAAAGAAAGGAAAACAGAAATGCCACAAAGAGAATTGAAATGGCTCTAAGAATCTCATTTTGTGTGTACATGGGACCGTGTGTCCTTATCCGTCAAAATACAAGATTTTTTTCATTCAATCAGGAAGTGTTACATCGCAAAATAATTTACAGAAGGAGGTCCCAAAGCTCTAGGCTGCAAGGGCACCTTCTGTACTAAATAGACAAACAAATATCAATATCAACTTGGTAACGACGAATAATGTTCAGATAAGCAATAACGCATGACAGCAAATGAAATAAAACGCGATAGCAAAATACTCTGCGATACATGTTGGAAGGATTCAAACTATGAAGACAATCAGGTTAATATAAAAGAAAATGCAGCAAACCAGTTCAACTACTAACATGCAGTATTGTAGAAAAGATAGAACATATGAACAAAGTAGCGATTATACTGAAAATCTGACATGCACATTGATAATAACAAAGCAAACAAATTAGTTGATATGTCACAGAACGGAAAAATTGCTAAATGTTCAAACACAAGAAAAGAGGTTATTTTGTTATAATATGTATATAACAATAATTACAGCAAGATATAGCCAATTTAACAACATAAATCAAATTAGTTACAGGTAAATTAAATACGAAAACAATTTATTTTTAAAACAGCCTAGACTACTACAAAGCTTAATGTTTCCTGGAACACTGTTGCAGAAGGACATTGCTGTGAAACCACTAATTAATCTACGATAATTATCTTTAATTTTTGGTAACAAGAAATTATTTGATGCTAAGTGTGTTTTATTTTGATTAAAGAGTTGTCCTTTGTCAAAAATTATTCAGGGAATGGTGGAGTGAAGGAAATTGTATGTAAGGATTGCCATGTTAAATGTAAAAAATTATGTGAAAGCAGGTGCGTAGCCAGAAATTTTTTTTCGGGGGAGGGGGGTTCACACAGACCCGACGGTTGGGGGGGGGGGGGGGCACAGGCATCAGCTTTTTTCTGTGACGTCACTATGGGCAGTAGTTTAAACAGATGCTGCACATGTATATCAAGACATGAGATTCATCTCTCCCCATGCGTATGGTTGTGAAGAGAGTAAGTAATAGTACTCTAAAAATTATTGATTATTAAGTGGGGTTCAACGTCCCAAAACCACCATATGGTTATGAGAGACGCCGTAGTGGAAGAATCCAGAACTTTAGACCACTTGGGGTTCTTCAACCTGCACCCAAACTTAAGCACACGGGCCTACGACATTACCGCCTCCATCAGAAATGCAGCCGCCGCAGCCGGGATTCGATCGCGCCACCTGCGGGTCAGCAGCCAAGTACCTTAGCCACAAGACCAGCGTGGCGGGGCAAGAGCGGCAAGTTTTGCAGCGATCAATGAATTTGGCTTGTCCGTCTTGGAACTTACGGTAATAGGTTTCGCTATAGAACAACCAATGCTCCGGACGAACGCCGAGGTATGATTTAATAATCAGCATAAATACACACGCAATTGGCGAACTTCCCGTACTATAGTATTAGAAAGAGCTGTTTCGGCAATGGTGATAAGGGCTCCAAAGACGATAACACTGCGAGAAGCATCCTCCGTAATTTAAGAAAAAAGAACACACGAAGCCCTATTATAACTAAAGCAGTCAATAGCACCGTGAAAGCCTCCTCGATCCCCCAGCACCGTGTTTGTTTTTGTTTTGTTTTTTTCCTCCGTCGTTCTGCGCAGAGGTGGCGCCCGTCAAAGTCGCAGCCTGGTCGCTACGTGTCATGTTTGCATCGAAGAATGAGAGAGAGACAGATAAAGATGCAAGGAAAGGCAGGGAGGTTAACCAGACGCACATCCGGTTTGCTACCCTGCACTGGGGAAGGGATAAAGGGGAGAAAAGAGGTTGCAGAAAAAGGTTTCGAGAGACCCAGCGGCAAGCGCACACAGATAGAGGGCGATACATGCGGTACGGGCGAGCGAAGCGGCGCCAAGGAGAAGCGATAAACGGTGTCGCCGCAATGTCGCGCCATGCGTCTAGACAAAGTGGCGCTTGGCCCCCGCCAGCGCCGCGACCCAAGTAGGCGATTCGGGCGGAGGCCGGAGAAGCCTGGTTATGGGCGCGCTGTACGCATACCGTGGTCTTGCGGTAGGCTAGCGTGCGTGCTGAAGCTTGTCGGAAAAGGATGCGGTGTAGTTGGGGGTGTTCAGAACTTAAAGCGTGCAACGGCCGCGAGCGCCTTATATTATTACTTCGCGTAACCGTTATTACCTCTGTAATAGCACTGCTTGTAATTGACGTACCAGAAATGTGCATACTAAGACATGTAGTCCATAATTTCGTTTTGGCGCAAATACTCTCTTACAAGGAACGAAATGAATGCGATAGAAGCTGTCGCCGAGGTCGGATCAGCGGCTACGGTGCTGACCCGAAGGTCGCCGGTTCGATCCCCGCCGCGGCGTACGCATATCAATGGAGGCGAAATGGCAGAGGCGCGTGTACTGTGCGATGAGAGTGCAGGTTAAAGAATACAAGTCAGTCCGAATTTCCGCAGCCATCCACTACGCCATCTCCCATAATCACATTCTGGTTTTGGGACGTAAAACTACAGCGCAGTAAGAGTATGCAATCTAGAAGTACACGTTGTTGGGCAAGTCAGTTTATGTTCGATTAGGAGTCGCAGTTGTGGCTCTTTCGAGCAAAATAATAACGAGGGAAGGAGCGCAAAGCCATAACCGTGGCTTCGATCTGATTGAGGTGTATATACACACTGATATTGAAAAAGAAACGTCATGTACTACATAAACACGGACTATTCACACTTGATGCATCTGTACATGAAGATGCACCACCGAGTCCGTGTCAACGTGTCCTGTCTTATAGCAGTTCACGATCATTAATACATTTGTGTCACTCATACGGTATTCCCTCACCGGCTTCCAAATGGTGGCTGTGGTGGTTAGACGGAAACGAAAAAGGCACTTGATTTGTGCAGTGCCTTGAGGGCGTCGGCGAAGCAATTAATAGAAAAGGTGGAGACATAAAGGAACGAGAGCACTCGGCGCAGAAGGCGCGGCAAAAAAGGTAAGAGAGAAGAGAAAGCTGGGAAGACTGTTAGAGGAGTCCGAGGACGGGGCACCAACCGGCGAGAGCTACGCAACTCAAGGACATCGCAGTAATACATTATACAACCATTCGGAACGAAATACACGGAGAGAATCTCTGCCAAATGACAGAGGCTCACAAACAGACACGTATAGATACAGTCACTCGCGGACGCTTTCAAAGAACGACACGCGTGGTGCCGCCTGCTACCGACGAAAGCTGACCTAAACGAACTCAACTGAAATGCACTTCTGCTGCCACTTACCCGACATTGCGTAGGAGCAACCAAACGATCTCCGAAGTATCCAAGCGTGTAAAATCCTGCTTTGATCCAACAAAAGAAATGCGGAGTCCGTCGAGGAGGGTAGAGCGGACAGCGTATCTCACAACTGTTTGCTCACTTCGAACGAGCAACTGAAAAAAGTTCCGCCGATCACACAAGGTAGGTAGGTAGTAAACTTTATTCAGTTGACAGGAGAGAGTTGGGGACGGCTTTAAGGGCCGGCCCCTTACAAAATCTAGGAGGAGTCCCTAGTCCGGGACCCCTGTGGCTTCTGCTGCAGCACGCGCTCGGGCCACTAGGGCACGCTGGTCCTCTAGGGTCGAGCAACCGAGCAGGGCAGCCTCCCAGCTCTCTCGGGTAGGGAGGGAAGGGGAAGGAAGTGGCGGGACCGCCGGATTTGAGGGGCATGCCCACACCATATGGAAAGGATCCGCGAACGGATGGTCACAGTGCGGGCATTCCCCAGAGAATGCCGGATTGAAATGTTTGAGTATCGCCGGGCACATACTGTATTGGTATAGAGACGGAGGAGCCAGCGCTCGTCCTTCTTGGGCAGGCCCGATGCTGGGGGTGGGAAGCGGAGCCTGTTCGATTTGTACATAGCGGTGATTTCTCTGAAAGAGGTAGCCGGAGTGGGTTCTGGAACATCAGGCGATGGAGGGCGAGGCGGGTCCCGGTAATTAAGCGCGCGGGCCGAGGCATCTGCAGCCTCGTTTCCAACTAGCCCCGTATGAGCAGGAGTCCAGATGACTGTGCGTGGATTTGGGCGATCTAGATAATAGCATCGCTTAAGGATTTCGGCGGCGCGATCATTGATGCAACTCCGTGTGAGATTTTGGCACGCCCTCCGCGAATCGGTAATAATTATCCGAGATGCGGGGTCCGCTGCGGCGAGGGCTATGGCGACCTCCTCCGCGTGTGTGATGTACGGTGCTCGAAAGGTGAGCCCTTGAATAGGTACGTTTTGGTGAACCACAGCGGCCGTGTACCACCCGCCGTGGTGGGGGCCGGATGCGTCCGTGTAGAAGACTCCCGGGCGTGAGCCATACCGTTGCTGTAGGGCTGTAGCCCGCGCTGTACGCCGCCCATCGTGAGTCCCATTTGTCATGTTTTGGGGCAGAGGCGGAATGATCAGTGCACCACGCCAATCCTCGGGGACCGCGGTACGCTCTTCCACCTTGTGGGTGTTGGAAATGTGGAGGCGGTGTAGGAGGTTGTTCCCATCCTGAGACCTACTAAGGCGCAGGTACTAGTTTTTGAGATGAGCCTCTTTAAGTTCCCCGTACGTGTTTGTCATGCCCAGGTCTGCGAGACGTTGGTTCGACGTTGAGATGGGGAGGTCTAGGGCACGTTTGTAAATTTTGCGGAGTATACAGTCTAGTGTATTCTCGTCGCATTTACGCAGACGCAGGTAAGGTGTCGAATAAAGGATCCGGCTGGTCACGAAAGCGTTGGCGAGGCGCAGAGCAGCACGGCTCTTGAGGCCTCCTCGCTTGTTCGAAACCCGGCGGATCATGCAGCCCGCCTGAGCCCCCACAGTGCGTAGTTTGCGCAGAGTGGTGTCAATTTTGCGGTGTTTGTGTATGAAGAGTCCCAGGACTCTGATTTCGTCACGTTCCGGAATAGCCCTGTTACACAAGGTGAGTTCAATTTGTGTCGTGTCGTTCAGTTTGGGGCGAAGATGCACGTATTCCGATTTGGTGGGTGAGCATTCGAGACCGCAGCCGCGGGCGCAGCTGTCAACTATCGACGCGGCATGTTGCAGGCATGTCTCGATGCTACCAAGGGAACCCTGAGTTGCCCATAGCGTGATGTCGTCGGCGTACAGAGCGTGCTGCACGCCTGGGACATCGTTTAGCAATGAGGGAAGGTGAGCCATGGCAAGATTGAACAGAAGAGGAGAGAGGACTGCTCCCTGTGGTGTTCCGCGCGTACCGAGGGGGTACGGTCCATGCTCCTTGTCTTGAATACGCAGGTATGTCTGCCGTTCTATGAGGAATTGGCGGACGTACCTAAAAGCATTATGCCCACAGTTTGTTTGTGATAGGTTGGTAAGGATGATGTCATGGGTAACGTTATCGAAAGCTCCCTTGAGATCTAAGGCGAGGACTACCTTGTCGTCACTGGGATGTTCGACCGGTTCGACAATGTCACGATGGAGTTGCAGGAGGATGTCCTGAGCAGAGCGATGTGGGCGGAAGCCGTACATAGTGTCTGCAAAAGTGTGTCGGGCCTCTAAGTATTCAGAGAGCCTGTCCCGGACCATGGCTTCCATAAGTTTCCCTACGCATGAGGTTAGGGAAATTGGTCTGAGATTGTCGATGTTTACAGATTTGCCTGATTTAGGGATGAAAGTTACTAAGGCCGTTTTCCAATCGAGCGGTAGGGGTTCACGCCCCTCCCAGATCTGATTGAAGTAGTCGAGGAGGTGAATGTACGCCGAGTCAGGGAGGTTGGCTAGGAGCCGAACCGTCACTCGATCCCGACCTGGCGCTGTGCCTCGTTTCATTTTGGACAGGGCCGCCTTCAGATGGTGGAGCTGAAAGCAACGATCCAACTCGGCGTTTTCCGTGCCTGCATATAAATACGCCGGTCCGATGGGGTCCTGTTGGCTACAGAGATATTTGTCTCTGAGAGCCTGTGCCAATTTTTCCGCGTCACCCGCATAGGCGTGAAGCGCGCGCTGAAGGTGTTTCTGTGTTTCTGTGCGTGTTTGGCTAGGGTCGATGAGAGCCCTAAAGAGACGCCAGGTGTTGCGGCTTGACATCTGTGTGGCGGCAGTGTTGCAGCACTCTACCCAGTTTGAGTCGGCGAGCTGGGCCGCGTACTCGTCGGCCTCTAGGGTGAGAGCCGCTATGCGGATTTTGAGCTGTCGGTTGTGTTTCTGTCGGCGCCATCGGCGCACTAGGCTGTGCCGAGCCTCCCAGAGATGCAGGAGGTGGTTGTCCACTGCCGGCGTGGCCTCTGAAAGTTGAACCGTCTGCTCGATTTTGTGGAGTGAGTTTACGAGATGTTGGGACCAAGTGTAGTATCCTTGGTGAGCTATGGGGTCGGATTGAAGTATACCAAGCGAAATTTGGTCCAGTCTGGAAGTTTCGCTTGGTGGTGGGGACGAGTAAGGGGGTGTGTCCGGATTGTGGTAATGACAATGCAGTGGTCACTACCGAGGGTTTCCTCGGTATTGAGCCAATCTGCGTGTTTGATGTTTTTGGTGAGTGTGAGATCGGGACATGTGTCTCGGGTAACAGAGTTTCCAATGCGGGTTGGGTGTGTGGGGTCCGTCAGGATGGTTAGGCCCATGGTGGAAATGAGTTCCGACAATTTCCGACCACGTCGTTCCTCCCGATGATAACCCCAGTGAGGGCTGGGGGCATTGAAATCGCCTACTATGACTAGTGGTTCTTTGCCTGCCACCGTGTGAGCTTTGCTAAAGATGTCGGCATATGTTATGTTGGGCAGTTTGGGTGAACTGTAGATGTTAAGAATGTGTATGGATGGGTTCTGCTTCCTAAGAGGGAGGAGAGTCACCATAGCATATGAGTAAGCTGGGTTGCATTCGAGATCCACCAAACTGGCGGTGTAATCTCGATGCACACAAAGTGCCGTTTGCGCGTCCCTTTGATACACGGTATAGTTTGTAAGGGCGGCGTGTTCGCCCTGTTCCTGTAGGGCCACTACCGCGGGTAATTGGGGATAGGTTTCTAAGTGGAGCCGGAGAGCAGCCCGCTTAGTGCGAGCCCGAAATCCCCGGCAGTTCCATTGGAGGATTGTGAAAGGGTCCGAATTAACGCGGGCACGGCGCGATCTAGAGGCGTTGCCCGCCATCATGGGTATTAGAATTTTGGGTAGCCTCCAGGAGAGCAGAGAGATCCAGAGGTGCTCCACCGCTCGGTCCGGGGCTTGCTGCTGATGTTGCAGTCAATATAGTAGGCTGCCTGTCAGCCTCAGCCCTTTGGGGAAGTGGCCGGGGCGTGTGAGATTTATTAACCCGCTTAAGTTTTTGGGTGGGACGACGGGTGCTGGAAGCGATTTGGGGCAGCTGGGCCACTATCATGCCCGGGATTCTGGCGAATACGGTTTGGAGGGCGGCAGCCAAGCGATCCTCGATAGTAGTTACTATGGAGGCCACCTGGCCCTCCAGGCTATTTAGACGCGCCTCAATCGGAGCGAGGAGTGCCGTGGTGTCCCTTTGTTCCGAGGGGGCACTATCCATCGCTTCCGGTGCCTGCCCGTAAGGTGTCGAGTTAGATGGAGGCGGGCGGTTTGCGAGTGCCTCCATTGCACGGGTCAACGAGGCCACTTGGGCCCGGAGCTATTTAATTTCGAGTTGTTCCCGTGTGGGGGCGGAAGAGGTTTGAGGTTTGGGTGGGTTCGAGGGGGTTCCGGATGGGGAGGCTGCCCCGCCCGAGCCGCTCACCTCGGGTCCTTGTCGGGCGCGAGCGGCCCATGTGGCATCCCCTTGGGCAGCAGGCTGAATTCCGGGTGACGGCGGGTGCGGTGTAGGGGAGGCAGGTAGGCCCTGGCTCGAGGTGGACCTCGCGGCGGGAGGTCCGGCCGGGGTGGGGCCTCGCTTGGAGGGCTCGGGAGCCCCCGCGCCAGGATGCGGGGGTGGAGGAGAAGGTTTGGTGGCAGGAGGCTGGGCCCCCTGCGGTGAAGTCCCGGTGGTCGGCCTGCTTGGCTTCCGTGTTCGCCGGCGTTTGCGTTTCTTGGAGCCAGTTTGGTTCGTCGGTAGAAGAGTGGATGGTTTTGGTGGTGGTGCCCTGTACGGGCACCACCACCAAACGGGGTGGTGCCCGTACGGGGTGGTGTAAGGAACGGGGTGGTGCCCCGTTCCTTACAGCACCGGTCCCCGGTGACGTGGGGTCCGGCGCATAGAGCATACTTCGGCGTGCATTCGTGAGGTGCGCGAGCACCATCTATGAGTGGCACTGTGTTGCCACAGGTGCCACAGAGGTCCGGTTTAGGGCCAGGGCAAGCGTCGGGTCGATGCCCAACTGAGCCGCACTGGTTGCAGGCTGGTACAGTTTTTCTGTATGGCTGCACCGGGATCAGCAGGGCGTCATAGGTGACGTACCTGGGCTTCACCTTTCCTGCAAAAGTGAGCCGCACCTTGTTGGAGGTGCCCAAACGCCGGATGTGCAGTATTTCGCCTTCCGGGCAGTAGAAGCGTTGGCGAAGTTCGGCTTCAGAGTCAGAGCTGCGCACTGTCACCACTCCGTAGCAGGAGTCCTGGGTGTCCGCGCGGAGATACCCGAACAGGGGCACCGGTCCGACGGATGAAGGAACTGTCAGTTCACCAATTAGTTTGTCCGCAATAAGCGGATGTGGGGTGTAGGCCAGAATGAGGTTTTGGTCCTGCACCATCACGACTGTGACCAGCCGGTTCGCGTTCGCTCCGAGGTGGGCGATGAGCGCGCTGCCGGCGCCGTTCTCGGGGAAAACGGCGGTGAGGGATAGTTGTGTCCGTGCTTTCAGAACAACAACAAAGTCAGTTTCCTTCGGCTTCGGCAGAGGCCGAGGCTGCCACGAGGGCCGCCTCCTCCCCTGTTGCGGGCCCGCGGAGCGCGGCGCAGGCGGCGGAAGTGTGGAGGAGGAGCGGGC